TTTGAGAATCTGAGGTACTGGTGTGAGATTCTAGGTGGTGCAGGCCTAGGTGCTGCAGGAGGAATGGAAAGAAAGCCATGGGGCTTCAGTGAAGGGGCAGGCTGTATGGTTTGAGCAGTGAAAGGGTTGGGGAATCGGAGATCACTCTGCGGGGGACAGGGCTGAGGAATGGGAAAGATTCTAGGATAGACACGTGAAGTGGGGTTTACCGTACAAACAGAAAAATCCAGAGGCCCTGGGAGCACAAGGTGTGTGGGAACTGCAGGTGGTTGACTTTCGCTGGAGTATAGGGAGAGAGGATGGTAGATAGTTGGGAAGGAGAGGGTTAAGCTAAAGTTCAGACTGTGAGGAATCTTTTCAAAGCTTTATATGGGTAAATGTCATATTGTATACCTCATAACTTCATCGGGGAGACTACTGCATTGTTAATGACAGTTATCAGTGAATGTCTGATTTAACAGACGAAATTTGATGGCCTTGCAGAGGTAGCTGTGAGTTCTCCCACGGCCACTGGGGCCATTTGTTGCTGCTCAACCTGGACCTTCCTGTGGTTCTGGCTCTCTCCTCTGTAGCTCCAGATGCCTGCTGCCCTTGGTGCATTAACACAATCTGGAAATCCCATTTGGAGCCCTCTTGCTGGCAGTTCTCTTAGCTCCTTTTGTAGTAATCTCTTTCTTAATTCTTCCTTCTCCTGTGCTCAGTCTCAGTTTTGGCCATTATGAAAACCCTAAATTTCTTGCTGCCTTGAAAGGGCCTGGGTAGAAAGAAGGCATGTATAGGAGCCACTGTTGTTGGATTGTTGCTGTTGTTCAGTCGCCCCGTCATGTCTGACTCTTTTCAATCCCATGAACTGGAGCACGCCAGGCCTCTCTGTCCCCCACCATCTCCCAAAGTTTGCCCAAGTTCATGTCTACTGCTGCAGTGATGCCATCCAGCCATCTCATCCTCTGACACCCTCTTCTCCTTCTGCCCTCAATCTTTCTCAGCATCAGGGCCTTTTCCAGTGACTCAGCTGTTCACATCAGGTGACCAAAATAATGGAGTTTCAGTTTCAGCATCAGTCCTTCCAACGAGTACTCAGGGTTGATTTCCCTTAAGATTGACTGGTTTGACCTCCTTGCTGTCGAAGGGACTCTCAGGAGTCTTCTCCAGCACCACAGTTCAAATCATCAATTCTTCAGTGCTCCACCTTCTTTATGGTCCAGCTCTCACAACCATACGTTGTGACCCCTAGGAAGACCATAGCCTTGACTATACAGATCTTTGCTGGCAGAGTAATGTCTTAGCTTTTCAACACACAGTCTAGGTTTGTCATAGCTTTCCTGCCAGGAAGCAAATATCTTCTGATTTCATGGCTGCTGTCACCATCTGCAGTGATTTTAGAGCCTAAGAAGAGGAAATCTGTCACTACTTCCACCTTTTCCCCTTCTATTTGCCATGAAATAATTAATGCTTTTGAACTGTGGTGTTGGAGAAGACTCTTGAGAATCCCTTGGACTGCAAGGAGATCCAACCAGTCCATCCTAAAGGAGATCAGTCCTGGGTGTTCATTGGAAGATCTGATGCTGAAGCTGAAACTCCAATACTTGGGCAACCTCATGCGAAGAGTTGACTCATTGCAAAAGACTGTGATGCTGGGAGGTACTGGGGGCAGGAGGAGAAGGGGACGACAGAGGATGAGATGGCTGGATGGCATCAACGACTCGATAGACTTGAGTAAACTCCGGGAGTTGGTGACAGACAGGGAGGCCTGGCGTGCTGTGATTCATGGGGTCTTAATAAGAGTCGGACATGACTGAGCGACTGAACTGAACTGAACTGAATGGGGCCAGATGCCATGATCTTAGTTTTTTCAATATTCAGTTTTAAGCCAGTTCTTTCACTCTCCTTCTTCATCCTCATCAAGAGCCTCTTTAGTTCCTCTTCGCTTTCTGCCATTAGAGTGGTATCATCTGCATATCTGAAGTTGTTGTCCCACCTCTCTTGATTCCAGCCTGTAACTCATCCAGCCTGGCATTCCTTGTGATGTGCTCAGCATATAGATTAAACAAACAGGGAGATAGCAGACAGCCCTGTCTACTCCCTTCTCAGTCCTGAACCAGTCAGTTGTTCCATACTGGAGTCTAACTGTTGCTTCTTGACCCACATAGAGGTTTCTCAGGAAACGGGTAAAAAGATCTAGTATTCCCATCTCTTTAAGAGCTTCCCACAGTTTATTATGATCCACACAGTCAAAGGCTTTGGTGTAGTCGATGAAACAGGTAGATGCTTTTTTGAAATAACCTCGCTTTCTCTATAATCCAGCGAATGTTCGGAGTTTGATCTCTGGTTCCTCTTCCTTTTCTAAACGCAGCTTGGACATCTGGAAGTTCTTGGTTTGCATAACGCTTTAGCCTAGCATGGAAGATTTTAAGCATGACGTTACTAGCATAAGGGGCGTCCCTGGTGGCTCAGACAGTAGAGAATCTGCCCGTGATGTGGAAGACCCGAGTTCAGTCCCTAGGTTGGGAAGATCCCCTGGAGAAGGGAATGGCAACCCACACCAGTGTTCTTGCCTGGAGAACCCCATGGATGGAGGAGCCTGGCAGGCCAGAGTCCCTGGGATCCCAGAGAGCTGGACACAACGGAGCAACTTCCTTTCCTGGCATGGGAGATGAGTGCGGTTGTCTGATGGCTAGCACATTCTTTAGTGCTACCCTTCTTGGGAATTGGGGTGAGGAATGACCGTTTCCAGTCCCATGGCCACTGCTGGGTCTTCCAGATTTGCTGACATATTGAATGCAACACCTTGATGGCATCATCCTTTAGGGTTTTGAATAGTTCTACTGGAATTTGTCACATCCACTAGCTTTATTAACTAACTATTATTAATATTAATTAATTAATTATTATTATTATTATCTAAGTTTTATTCCTAAGGCCCACTTGACTTTGCTCTCCAGAATTTTTGCTCTCAATGACTGACCACACAATTGTAGTAATTCAGTTCATTTGGATCCTTTTTGTACAGTTCTGTGCATTATTTCCATCTTTTCTTGATCTCTTCAGCATCTACTCGGTCTCTACCGTTTCTGACGTTTATTGTGCCCTTCTTTGACAAAATGTTCCCTTGATACCTCCAATTTTCTGAAGAGATCTCCAGTCTTTCCCCTTCTGTTTTTTTCTCCTAGTTTTATACACCGTTCATTGAAGAAGGCCTTCTTGTATCTCTGTGCAGTTCTTTGGAAATCTGCATTTAGTTGGATATATCTTTCTCTTTCTTCCTTGCTTTTCACTTCTCTTCTGTTTTTTAGCTATTTCTAAGGCCTCCTCAGATAACCACTTTGCCTTCTTGCTTTTCTTTTTCTTTGAGATGGTTTTGTTCATTGCTTCCTGTACAATATTATGGACCTTCTTCCATAGTTCTTCAGGCACACTATTCACAAGTTTTAATCCCTTAAATCTGTTACCTTTATTGCATATTCACAGAGAATTTAATTTAAGTCTTACCTGGCTGGCCTAGGGGTTTTCCCTGCTTTCTTTAGTTTAAGCTTGAATTTTGCTATGAGAAGCTGATGATCTGAGCCACAGTCAGCTCCAGGTCTTGTTTTTGCTAACTGTATACAGCTTCTTTATCTTTGGCTACAAAGAATGTAATCAGTTGGATTTTGGTATTGACCATTTGTTGATGTCCATATGTAAAGTTTTCTTGTGTTGTTGAAAAAGGGTATTTGCTGTGACCAATGCATTCTCTTGGCAGAAATGAGTTAGCCTTCACCCTGCTTCATTTTGTTCTTCAAGGCCAAACTTGCCTGTTGTTGGATACAAAGCAATTTTCTTCTCCCACTTTGAGAGTGAGAGTTATTACCCTGTCCCTCTTTCATGGGACTTCAGTGTTTCTTGCTATCTTTGGTTATCCACTCTGGGCTGAGCAGTAATGAGGGGAAGCTGTTCTCTCTGTTGAGGACTGGGGAGACATGGTGGTGGTATCTGGAGTTTACACCTCAGATTGTTACTTCTGGTCTAAATAACCTTATAGATGGCTGTTAACTATGGTTTGGCTGCTATTTATGTAACAAGTTGTTTTAATCAGCATTGAGAAATTTGAGAAATTTAACATTGTTTCTTGGAGGAAGTTGTTTTTCATTTTCTAAATAACCAGTATTCTAGTACAGGAGAACTTAAAAACAAACACCTATGCTTTCTTTTTTGTTGTTGTTGTTAAGGTTGATTTCTCTCTTTTTTCCCCTCATTGCTTAAGTAACATAAAAAAAAAAAAATTCAATCCTTTGGTTGGTCATGTAGAGTGTTTTTCAGATTTTGTTTTGTTTTGTGTAGAAACGAATGATCCTAAGCACATTTTTGAAAGGGTTATAAGTTAGAAAGCATCTGAACAGTATTTTCAGATAACAGTATTTTTAAAAGCAGTCAAGAAAGGAGATGACTCATCTCGAGGGAACTTTCCAGTAATTTATATACAGTGATACCTACTGGATAGAGGTTTACCTTTTAGTTTTCCGAATTATGAAAAGTCACTGGCATTTTTCATAGAATCTGAAGCCTCCAGTGACTTGCACTTCTAAGAATGTTCAAATGAATACTTATCACAAAGATCTTATAGCTAGATGTTGGCTTTACTTAGAATTATATTCTTGAGTTTTTGTATAAAATGAAGCTTTCCTATGTGTTTTAAGCTTTTCATTTTTGTTTTAAAATCAAGTTATTCATTTGAAAGTTTTTCTGTAAATGTTCTATATAATTTTCTTTCTATAAGAGATGCATTCTTCACTAATAAGATATCTTTGAAAAATAAAGATGATTAAAATTCTTTTATTGTGAAAATCTTAAACATACACGAAAGAGGAAAGAATTGTATACTGAATTCCCATATATATATCACCCAGGTTCAACTGTTATGAGTAGAAATTTCAACTTCAATAAATGTTGTTTTTGTGTGTGCTAATTTTCCTGTAACTCTTCTGCAAGCGAGAGTATTGATTTGCAGTTTTTATTTTATGTAGATGATGTGATGCCAGGCACTTACTGTGAAATTGACTTAGATAAAGAAAAGAGAGATGCATTCGTGTATGCTATCAAAAATCACTACTGGTACCAGATGTACATAGATGACTTACCAATATGGGGTAAGTACTGTATGTTACATTTAAAGTTTGTGGGATATTTGCATAATCAGCAAGATTTCTGTAATGACTATTCAGGTGATTATACACTGAATCAATAAATGTGTTTTCACTCTTCCACAGAATTATTTTAACACCAGTTTTATATGGTCTCCTGTTACTTGAAAGATTTTTGACATTGTGTCAAACTTTCTATGAAAATTCCTGAAAATATAACTTTTATACAGTAAAAATATTCAGATTCAAGAAATTAAAAGGTGCTTTGAACAGTCTGAAATATTCCTCTTGCCCCCATTTTTCTCATATCTTATTTTGATTTATCAAATGCAATCAAAGGGACTGAATAGGATTTTAAAATTATATTCTGGCTTTATCTCATGCAGAACTGTGGTGGTATGATTTTTAGGTACAAGAGTCTCCTGAATGACTTGTTTTGCTAGTTCTGTGTTATTTTCCAAAAGTCTATTATGTTAAAAAATTTTTTTAACTTTATTATGTTTTATTTTTTTATATTGTATGTTCGTGTTCATCTCTGTTGATAGAGAGGAGCAATGGAATAGTAGTATCAGTTTATGCAAAATCCAAACATTGTTTGTGCTGGACTTGATTAAATTACTTAATATACAAAAGCACAGCCATCTGTCATAGCCAGCATGTTTGATCACATTTTTCTTTTAGTGGCGTTTGTTGTTTGTTTTTTGATCTTTGGACATTTGTTATTATATATAGTTAATATGTATAGTTAATATTCTAATTCTTAAAATTATTAGCAGACTGATGTATTCATGAGAAGCAAATTGCAAGACTGAACATATCAACTCAGAGTTTAATATGGTACTAAGATGGAATTAAGGATCTTCCCTATAGTTCAGATGGTAAAGAATCTGCCTGCAATGCAGGAGACCTGGGTTCGATCCTTGGGTTGGGAAGATCCTCTGGAGAAGGGAATGGCGATTCACTCCAGTATTCTTGCCAGGAGAATCCCATGGAGAGAGGAAGGAGCCTGGCAGACCACAGTCCATGGGGTCGCAAAGAGTTGGACATGACTGAGTGACTAACACTATGGCTAAGATGGAATTTATAAGAAAGTTACTCTCAAGATATAATTGCATGCAGCATCATTACTGTGTTGCATGTTAATTAGGTATAAATAGGAAGCATTTCATGTAAGTGACTGTAATTAGTATAACAGACATTTCTGTGATCAGCACTGAGGATAGCTGGAAGCTCTGCTGAATATTCGCTGAAGATTTCTGAGGCTGTAGTTTAGGAGAACCCTTTAATCTGGGTGTCCTCCATTCGGTGAGAGAGTAAGTCTCTCTCCTGCTCTTTTGCATTGCTTATGGGTTTCCTGCCTGGAACCTTCGGCTTTTCCAGTCATTTCTTCGGCCTCCATAGCAACATGGCAGCTGTGTTTTCCTGTCTTAACATAAATCTTTTTTAGCTCTGGGTTTCTGCCATATTTAGGGCAGATACTTTTGAATGTGCTAGAATGTCTGAACCATGGAAAACCTTGTCAGAAACAAATCTTTACCTGGCTTTTCTTGGGATAAAGGGTTTTAGATCTTTTAAAAGTCCCTCAGAGAATACTTTCCTATATAGTGTAATTGTGTCTCCACCCTCAGAGTTTTCAGAGAAGATACGTAAATAAACTTCCATGAAATTAATTATTAGGTAGATTTTATTATCCCTCTACAACCTCAGACAAAATGCATCTGTATACCTTAAGCTTGTACCAGTTAGAGCAGTTTTGGTTAATAAGCAAATAATTCTTAATAAAAAAATGATCTTTTTTTTCCCCGTAATGCTTTCATGAGTTGCACTGACCATAGAGGGAAGACCTAAGGAGTAACTTTTAGAACCTAAGATTTTCTAATGAATTTATAGGCTTGGGTATAGGGAACATTGGATAACTAACTGACAATATGAGGGCACCAGAGATGGTCCTCAGCTACTACCTGATTCCTTGTTTGGGTCTTCTCCTTCAGTGTCCCAAATTGTGATCAAAATGATCATTTTAACTATTGCCTCATTACCATTTATCTTCAGCACTTCTGTCATTTTGTTGACAAAATCCTAGGGATAATTCTAAGACTTGAGGTATAAAGAGGAGGCATTTTAAGTTAGGCTTCCTTGGTGTTTCAGATGGTAAAGAATCAGCCTGCAGTGCAGGAGACCCGGCTTTGATCCTTGGATCAGGAAGATCCCCTGGAAAGAAAATGGCAGCCTACTCCAGTATTCTTGCCTGGAGAATTCCATGCACAGGGGAGCCTCGTGGGCTCCAGCCCATGGGGTCACAAAGAGCTGGACATGACTGAGTGACTAATGTGTATATACATATGTATAACTATTAGGAATGGATTGATCATAGGTTATTAGAGAAAATATGAGACTGGAACTCTGGAAACCTTGGTTTTAATTTTAGTTTGGCCACTAAACTGAGAATCTTGCCAAATGGTAATATAGTGCTTCCTTGAAATTTTGAGATATCAGGGAACATAAAGTATATGGTCATAATTATTACAGTGAAGGTGTACTTTGAGGATCAAGGTATGAACTTTGAGGATCAAATTAATGATAGATTATGCTTAGCTGTTCATCACTTTTTTACCATGAAGTGAAAATGGTTTGTATTTGCCAAGTAGTTAACAAAGAGATAGTTAACAAAGAGAAGTCCAGCCTGCAGCTTTTCCTTGTTCTAACTGTAAGGAATAATAGTAATGTTGCTGTTTTTTATAAAAATGCTTTTTACTGAACTTTTAGTTTCTAATGTGTTTTAAATATTAAGTGATGTTACATACCTGTGTGAAGTGTTATTTCTTTTGTAGGTATAGTTGGTGAAGCAGATGAAAATGGAGAAGATTATTATCTTTGGACCTATAAAAAACTTGAAATAGGCTTTAATGGAAATCGAATTGTTGATGTTAATCTTACTAGTGAAGGAAAGGTGAAACTGGTTCCCAATACTAAAATCCAGATGTCATATTCAGTAAGTATTAAAATAATTGTATACAGGAAGACGTGTTTGTAACTTAACATCAAAAATAAAGTTTTACAACTTCAGTAAATGAAAATGTAGCTTGAAATGGGATGCAACAGAAATACTGCTCAGTATTTAATTTATATAGTAAAAATTTTATTAGACTATATTTCCCCAGTGTCTGTAAGTAAGCCTCCTGAAAACAAGGAGATTTACTTTAGGTCTGTAGTAATAGACACCTGTTATGCAATGGCAGGACCTACTTAGCAGTTGCTTCAGCAAAGTTTACCATTATAACTGAGCAGTTAGCTAACCCAGCCATGTATTCTTATGGTTACTTTTTAGCAGTGCTCCTTGTCTTTGCTTTTAAGTGTTGCAGATTAAGAGATGATGCTATGTTGAAAATTTCTGGATGAGTATAGTTTACCATATTTTGCTTTATCAGATGGAATAAGATGCTCTTGCAGAGTAAGAGCCCTTTGCAGCTGTCAAGTTAATTCTTTTCTATTATGATTAAAAGTAGTGGAAAGAAGAGAAATCTGATGTAGGTAGCCTCTCTCTTTGCGAGTTTCTTTTCCTGGTAACTAGAATGAGTCCATTGCTATTAGATAGTTTTGAAAGTTTTTCAAGGTTTGTGCACATGTACCTAGTACAAATAATATTTGCATAGCTGTATTTATAAAGAAACATGATCTTTGTAATAAAACTAGTGCAATCTAGATTAGACAAAGATGTTCAGATTATTTATTTTGTCTAATTAATTATTATCACATTTATGAGGTCAGAGAATTTAACAGGTAATAGTCCTTGAAAACTGAAATGATCACTCTTAAGTAAAGTCGTAAGTTTTGTTAATACACAAAAAGGGAAGTTGGGTAGTTTTTTTAATCATATATTTCAACTTCTCAGATTTGTAGTAACTTTCTACCATTTCTCAAATTTCTTAAAAGTGTAAATCTTTTCAAATTTTGCTCAGAGTATTGTTTACTGTCCTTGATATTAAAAAAAAATTTTTTTTCAGGTAAAATGGAAAAAATCAGATGTAAAATTTGAAGATCGATTTGACAAATATCTTGATCCATCCTTTTTTCAACACAGGGTAGGTAAATTGTGTCCTTTAAGATATTCAGTATGTGCTTCAGTCAGTCACACAGTAAGCAATTGCCATTTGTAGGGCACAGTGTGAGGGCTGTGAATCTCAAAGGTTTAACCATAATGCTGATTTCAGATGTGAGCTCAGAGGGGCCTGAGCACCTGTTAAAGTGGAGCTGCTGTCTTTGGGGCACAAAGCTGTGTTTGGAGAGTTGGAGGGGAAGATCAGAGTACAGTTTGGGACATAGTAGTTTTGAAGTCTTCAGGACATCCAGATGGAGACAATGACCAGCTAGTTGGATCTGTCAAATGGAGTTCAGGAGAGAGGCCTGGGTTATAGATAGAAGTTTTGTGGTCATTGGCATATAAGTAGTATTTAAAGCTGTGAGACTGAATGCAGTTACCAAGAAAGGGTGCATAGAAATAGAAGAGCGCTGAGAACTGAGCACTGGGAGCAGTAGTGTAAGTTAGAGAGAAAAGCAGAAACCAGCTCGGAGCTCTGAAGAAATACTTGTATGGTGCGAAAAGAGAATTATATGGTATCCTGAAAGCCAAGAGAAGAAAGTCTGTCATGGAGGATAGAAAGATTAGTTCTGAATTGTTGCTGATGGGTCAGTAAGATGAGTACTGACCGTAACTGTGGATTCATCTGGAGTAATCAGTGAACTTGACAAAGAACAAGTTTGGTATAGTAGTGGGACACAATCTCAACAGAGCTGGTGTAAGAGAGAATGAGGGGAGAGTAATTGGAGGCAACACGTCTGGCTACTAATGGGAGTGAAGAAATGGTGCAGTAGTCAGCAGGAAAGATGGGATCAGGAGGGAGTTGGGGTGTTTTTTGTTTTGTTTTTTGAAATGTAAGGAAAACACGTTTGTATGTTGATGGGGTTCCGTAAAGAACACAAAACTGACGATGCCGAAGATGGGGAGAATTGATGAACCTTTTTCCTTGAGTAGGCAGTAGTAGATGGGATCTACTGTGAAGCATTGGGATTGTTTGTTATACAGTGACTTACCAGCACAGACTTTGGAGCTCCAACTGCAAGTAAACTGTCTTTGTCATTTACTGTAACCTTGATGAGAGGACTCAGTTCTTTAGCTTCTTTTCAGCAGTGAAGCGGAGGTTGCAACTCTACTACTTTGCAGAGTTGTTGTGAAACTCCATTTGACCATGTTTATAAAACCTCTGGTATAAAACCTTCCATAGCAGGTGCTCAGGAAGAAGCAGCACTGGTGGTATATTAATCTCCACTGTTCTAATGTTTGTGGTAAACCTGGAGTGCTACTTTTAGGATTAGCAACACTAGAGGGTGCTGGAGGCAGCAGTTCATAGGGTTAGTCACTGCTGTGTGACATCTCATTTCTTTATTGTTTTAAAGAAATATTTCCCTTGGTTAATAACTTCAGAATCATACAACATTTTATAATTTGGGGGATAAAGGAATATTATAAAATGTCAGGTTATTAGTAGTTCATTATAATAGGTATTAAAGTTTGCATCTTTGATTAGAAAATAGAGAGCTTTGCTAGAAATTTTAACATTTGGGGGCATATCTTTCTTATTACCAAACAGTAACTATATAAAACTTCTTTTCAAAAATTCAATAAATTGACTGAAAAAAGTTATGAGTTGTGTGTGTGAGTGTGTGTGTGTATCTATATGTACACATATATGTATGTATAAATTTTTCTCTCTTGTCCTTTTCTGGGTCATTAATTTCCAGAGTAGCAACAAAAGCAAATCTTTGTAAAAATCCTATTTTTATATAGTGCATTTATAAATCTTAAGAGATACTTTTGTGATAAACTTTATATGTGAATAGTTTAGGTTTGATATGCAAGCTTCTTTGGTGGCTCAGAAGGTAAAGAGTCTGCCTGCAGTGCAGGATACCTAGGTTCGATCCCTGAGTCAGGAAGATCCCCTGGAGAAGGAAATGGCAACCCACTCCAGTATTCTTGCCTGGAAAATCCCATGGATGGAGGAACCTAGTGGACTACTATCCATGGGGTTGCAAAGAGTTGGACATGAATGAGCGACTAACACTTTCACTTTGATATGTGAAAAAATAGGGACTGTTACTGTAGGTTTTAGAACAGAGAAATGATATATGAACATGATGTTTCAGAAAGATGTACTGGATTAACTGTTACAGGATAGACTGAAAGGAAGGGGAAAGACCAAACAGAAAGGTCATCACGTAGGAGGCCATTAGAGCTATCAGGTGAGAGGTGATGGCATGGGAATGGAGAGGAATGGGAAAAAATGAAATGAGAGAGAAGAGAAATTTTGAAACTACCCATAAGGAAGAATTTTGGGGAATTAAAATTTAAAGAAATTAATAGACAGTGCCAGAGACACAGTTGAGTCAGATGTGCTGCATCTGAATGTAATTTTTTGACAAATGTATGGGTGAAATCAAAGTCAAGAGCCTTGGGGACGTTGCCAAACTATGGAGTACATCAGAGTCCTCTGTACTATGGATACAAGGTGGCTTAAGTCCACAGCACCCAACAGTGATGGTTTAGTCTTGTCATTTTGATGAGGTTTTCAGGTTGTTGCTCAGTTAGAGGGAAGGGAACTAATATTGTGCCAGGCAATGGTGACTTGTGGCTTACATATATATTAAAATGTACAAATCACTTACGATACAGTATCATTTCCTTCATCTTTGATGAAGGAAAAATGGGGTTCAGGGCCTGTGTTTAAACTATGTTTTGACTCCAAAACCCATTTTCTTTCTCTGTAATACTGAATAGCATACTTCATGTGGCCAGATTGTACTTTATTTGTACAATTTGATTGTGATAATCTATATATACAGTATCATACTTTTAATGCATCTGAAGATTACTGGAAAGAAAGCCAATCTCTTTGATTACTCTTCTTCAGTGTATTTTAATTTTGGATTTTCATGTAAAAGTTTTAGAAGATTTTTGTGTGTGTGTGTGTGTGTGTGTTTTTTTCTTTTGCATAAACATTCCATTGTCATCATGAAACCTGTGAATTTTGTAACTGGTATTTCATGTAAGTAATACTTTATTTTCTGTTATTCTAGATTCACTGGTTTTCAATTTTCAACTCCTTCATGATGGTTATCTTCTTGGTGGGCTTAGTTTCAATGATTTTAATGAGAACTTTAAGAAAAGATTATGCCCGGTATAGTAAAGAAGAAGAAATGGATGACATGGTAAGCAAACGTTTTATTAATACATTGTATTTACAAAAAAATTGAACTCAAGTGTTTTTGAATATTGGAAGTAGGTTTATAATCCTGAGATCAGCTGATCTTTAGAATTCAGAATTTTCAGGCTTTAGAAAGATATAAACTCCCAGAGGGGTCTCTAATCAAATATTTTAATGTTTTTAAGTTGCCCTGATTAAATGTCCTACAATCAAATACATTAATGTGTTTTCAGCAAAACATGAATGTTCGCCCTAAGTGGGACGAATAAAATAAACAGTGTAAGTAATCTCTTGTTAGTTCAGTCTTGAGATTTGCCACCAGAGAAGGATATGTCAAGCTCGTGAAACAGACTCACTTTTCAGAGCTTTTGATTTCAGAATTGCAGCTAGGAGGTTGTCAACTTGTATTGGTATTTTTCTAATGCTGCTAAATATTGCATGAAATTAAGAGTTGGTGGAAAGATTGATTTACATTTAGTTCAGATGGTTCAGAGGTTTGCTTTTGAAATTATTTTTACTAAATTATAGAACAGAAATTATATAGAAATTTACATAGAAATTATATAAATGAGCAAAAGTGTGGTTTGTTTGCTTGTTAATTTTTTTGACCACACTGCACGACTTGTAGGATCTTAGCTCCTCGACAAGGGGTTGAACCCATGCCCTTGACAGTGAAAGCACAGAGTCCTGACCATCAGGGAATGTTAATGGCTATTCTTTTTTTTTTTCCCCTTTTTAAAAAATGAAGTGTAGTTAATTTATAATGTTGTGTTAGTATCAAATGTACAGCAGAGTGATTCAGTTGTTAATGAATATTCTGTGTAGATATGCTCCATCATTAAATAAACTTTGAAAACAGTTAAATTAAAACTTTAATATGCATATGTGTCTTGTGAAATGTCAGAGGCCCGATGAACTATTTCAGTTCAGTTCAGTTCATTTGCTGACAAAACACTGTCCACTGAAGAAGGGAGTGGCAAACCACTACAGTATTCTTGCCTTGAGAACCCCATAAACAGTATGAAAACATGAAATATTTGCTGCCTCTCAAATATAGCTGACCCAGACCACTCCCCCTCCGCTGCCACCACCAAAAGAAACCCAGAGATTATCTTGAGGGACTGATTGCTATTTGTTAAGAAACACTGTTTTAGATACTTGCTTACTCAGGTTGAAAAGTCATAATTGAATGTTTTGTTTAGAAAAGCACTATAGACAGCATATTAAAAAGCAGAGACATCACTCTGCCAACAAAGGTTCGTCTAGTCAAAGCTATGGTTTTTCCAGTAGTCATGTATGTATATGAGAATTGGACCATAAAGAAAGCTGAGCACCAAAGAATTGATGCTTTTGAACTGTGGTGTTGGAGAAGTCTTGAGAGTCCCTTGGACTGCAAGGAGATCCAACAGTTCCATCCTAAAGGAAATCAATACTGACTATTCATTGGAAGGACTGATGCTGAAGCTAAAACTTCAGTACTTTGGCCCCCTGATGCAAGAAACTGACTCATTAGAAAAGACCCTGATGCTGAGAAAGATTGAAGGCAGGAGGAGAAGGGGGCAACAGGATGAGATGGCTGGATGGCATCACTGACTCAATGGACATGAGTTTGCACAAACTCTGGGAGTTGGTGATGGACAGGAAAGCCTGGTGTGCTGCCATTCATGGGGTCGCAAGGAATAGGACATGACTGAGTGACTGAACTGACTGATAGACAGTTAAATAATATTTAACTATTTAATATATTCCCCATGTATTTTCTTAGGCTTCAGGCTATAAGGGGCATTTCTGCATTGCTAGGACATCTAGTACTGGTTTTAATCTTTTCTTTTGTTCTCCACCTGGGCCCTGGTCATACGTGAGCCATAGTTATGATGTAATGTCAAGAATAGCATCTGAAGGTAATGTTCAGAGCTGCTGGGCTTTTCTCCCTGTGTGACCATTTCTTTTTGCTCCTAGACCTTTTCTTTTTCCATTCTTTGAGATTTTCTGAGTACAACCAGGAGCCACCTTTCTGAGTTTCAGGATTATCACACTTTATAACATAATAAATTATTAAGTCAGAAATTATTTTAAATTTGAAATGTCTTTTCTTGATATTTTGAAATTTTTAATAGCTCTAAATTTTTAGGTAGGGAACTTACAACTGTAGTTGTAATTTTTTAAGCTATTTTATGTATTTTAATTTCATTCTGGATTATTTTCTTTTCTCTCAACACTTATATATATATATATAGGATAGAGACCTTGGAGATGAGTATGGATGGAAGCAGGTGCATGGAGATGTATTTAGACCATCAAGTCACCCCCTGATATTTTCCTCTCTCATTGGTTCTGGATGTCAGATATTTGCTGTGTCTCTCATTGTTATTATTGTTGCAATGATAGAAGATCTGTATACAGAGTAAGTTCATATGTTTATAACTTTATTACTTTTTCGTTGTTCTTAAATAGTTTTAATAATTGAACCTTTAAGTTAATCATATTAAATATCTGCTGATCCTAATTATCTTAGAATTTAAAAAGCATAAGTGCCATTATTGCAAACAAATAGTGAATAGTATTCTGCAGCTATAATAAATACACTTTCCTGTTATCTTCTGAAATTACTAACCTTATTGAATACTTTGCTTGGTTATAAAGATTATTTTTCATTAGAGGTATGAGCAGAGTTACAAATCAAGAGTTCTTTGACAACGTGAGTGGACACTTTTATGAAAGCTGAAGGTCCAATCAGATCTTCTAAGAAGCACACAAGGATTACCCATTTAGTGAGTTAGTACTTCACATTTGCCTCCAAAATTTGGAGCTCTACAGAATAGAAGAAAGCATTGTAGATAACACTAGAAAGAGTGGTGGAAAAGGCACATGAGGTTAGAACAATAATTACATGGTTTTTCCTTTATTCTGTCTTCACATGGTTTCTGGTACATTGTTTCTTTGAAGACAAAACCAGTTGCAAGAAATCTTTAATGTGAGGCCTTTGAATCCTAAAAAAAAGTTGTATATCCATGGATATCTTAAGTCTATTGAGTAGTCCTATAACCTTGTGCTCAGAGAGCCATGACCTCAACAAAGCAAACACACTCTGAGCCTGGGGTGTAGATGCCACCCCATGAAGTCCTCAATCAGAATGACACTTGTCTCCTGTTACGTTTCATACCTCTATCTCAGTTCCTGATGGTGCTTGCTTATATATGCCTGACATTTAGTGGACAAGTGGCAAATTGTTGCTGAAAGCATGGCTCTTTAGTTACATATTAAATGTTTAACTATAACTGGTTTTTCCTTGCACTGGACAGTAAGCTCCTTGAGAGTAGAGGCTGGGTCTTCCCTTTGTGATCTCCGAGTGCCTGAAGAGCTCTGTGTATTCAGGTTCCTCAGTCATTGCTTACTGACCTGAAATGAATATGTGTTAGTCGAAAAAGATATTTCTCTGTAGTTTGTTATATTTCTTTAATATAACCTTTGTATTTTAGTTACCACATAAACCTTAAAATAATTGGCCAAAACCTAAACTTCAGTGTCTTGTAGGTAGTTCTAATTTTAGGATAGAATATATTTCAAGTAAACGAAATCTCAGATTCAAGAAAAGCTGCACTGGTAGGCAGATGATTTATCACTAGTGCCACCTGGGAAGCCCCTTTCTACATGAGACTATATCATCCTTCACATTAAATACTGGATTAAATTCATCACTATGGAATTGACACTGACTATATAGTCACAGTGTTAGAAATTAGTATTGGGTATTTAGTAGTGGGTAAGAGAGTTCCAGAAAAACATCTATTTCTGCTTTATTGACTATGCCAGAGCCTTTGACTTTGTGGATCACAATAAACTGTGGAAAATTCTGAAAGAATACCAGACCACCTGACCTGCCTCTTGAGAAACCTCTATGCAGGTCAGGAAGCAATAGTTCAAACTGGACATGGAACAACAGACTGGTTCCAAATTTGGAAAAGGAGTACGTCAAGGCTGTATATTGTCACCCTGCTTATTTAACTTATGCAGAGTACATCATGAGAAATGCTGGGCTGGAAGAAGCACAAGCTGGAATCAAGATTGCCGTGAGAAATATCAATAACCTCAGATATGCAGATGATACCACCCTTATGGCAGAAACTGAAGAGGAACTAAAAAAGCCTTTTGATGAAAATGAAAGATGAGAGTGAAAAAGTTGGCTTAAAGCTCAACATTCAGAAAACTTAAGATCATGGCATCTGGTCCCATCACTTCATAGGAAATAGATGGGGAAACAGTGGAAACAGTGTCAGACTTTATTTTTCTGGGCTCCAAAATCACTGCAGAAGGTGACTGCAGCCATGAAATTAAAAGACGCTTACTCCTTGGAAGGAAAGTTATGACCAACCTAGACAGCATATTAAAAAGCAGAGACATTACTTTGCCAACAAAGGTCTGTCTAGTCAAGGCTATGGTTTTTCCAGTGGTCATGTATGGATGTGAGCGCTGAAGAATTGATGCTTCTGAACTGTGATGTTGGAGCAGACTCTTGAGAGTCCTTGGACAACAAGGAGATCCAACCGGTCCATCCTAAAGGAGATCAGTCCTGGGTGTTCAATTGGAAGGTCTGATGCTGAAGCTGGAACTCCAATACTTGGGCCACCTCATGTGAAGAGTTGACTCATTGGAAAAGACCCTGATGCTGGGAGGTACTGGGGGCAGGAGGAGAAGGGGACGACAGAAGATGAGATGGCTGGATGGCATCACTGACTTGATGGGCATGAGTTTGAGTAAACTCCGGGAGTTTGTGATGGACAGGGAGGCCTGGCATGCTGCAATTCATGGGGTTGCAAAGAGTTGACATGACTGAGCGACTGAACTGAACTGGACTGAATTGAACTGAACCTCTCCTAGGGGTTTCCCAGGTGGTGCTAGTGGTAAAGAACCTGCCTGCCAGTATAGGTAGACATAAGAGACACAGGTTCGATCCCTGGGTTGGGAAGATTTCCTGGAGGAGGAAGTGACAACCTGCTACAGTACTCTTGCCTGGAGAATCCCATGGACAGAGGAGCCTGCAGGCTGCAGTCCATAGGATCGCACTGAGTCAGACATGACTGAAGCGACTTAGCACACACACAGGCAACCTCTCCTCGAATCCAAATTTTTGCTTTGTTCTTTCTCAATTATTAGTGTTTCAATGTTGGCAGTTCATTTTTTAATGCTGAAGCTCTTCTGCTTATAGACTTTCAGCTTTTAGAAATAAGAATCCGCACCTAATAGATGGTTATTAGCAGGCAAGTCATGCATTGTTATTTAAGCCTGTCATTGTTATCAGTGGATTTTCTACCATTTGAAGTGAACATACTTAATCACTTACATGATAAGTACTATACCTATGAATATTATTATGAGATCAGAGTGACTAACCTTATTGAGGTTCCATGTTAGTAGCTTTTTGCTCATTAGCTCATTTAATCCTCACATCAGCCCTGTGAAGGGACTATTATTATCTTCAACCCACAGATGAGAAAGGTGAAGCTCAGGGAGGTTGAGTAATTTGAGTGAGATAACACAGCTATTAGTAAGGAGTGTTAGTAAGCTGAAATTTGAGCCTTGACACTCTTCCCTGATAGCTTAGATGGTAAAGAGTCTGCCTACAATGTGGGAGACCTGGGTTCAATCCCTTGGTCAGGAAGATCCCCTGAAGAAGGAAATGGCAACCCACTCCAGTATTCCTGTCTGGAAAGTCCTATGGACAGAGGAGCCTGACGGGCTATTGTCCATGGGCTTGCTAATAGTTGGACACGACTGAGCAAGTGACACCACTTTCACTGTGACTCCTGAACTTGTCTCTTAACCTTCAGTGCTCTAGTGAAGATAGAGATAATAAAAATGCATCGTGATGAGAAAATGAAAAACCTTGCATGTAAAATTTGTAAGACTCACTCCAGGAGTAGAAATCTCAAGGATTCTAGAGGATAAAAAGCAGATAAATGTATATAACCTGTGACAATTACTTTGTTCAGTGATGATCACGGCAATCAGGGAAGAAGAAAATACTTAGATAGATAGAGGATCAGCATCAGTGTGGATGTGCCAATTAGTGTGACATTAACCCTGGAGAAAGCATGGTGTTTGAGAAGGTATGAGTAAGTCTGGTAAAATGCTTTGCAGTGGTGGGATGGCAAGTGTAGGTAAAGCAGTTACTTAGATCTCACACTCTCTCCCCACACCTCCCCCCCACCCCAGTCTTAGAGAAATGAGCAAGGATGGTTCTCTACTTCAGTAGGTTTCTTCATTTTAGATGAAAGTGGTCTATTTTGGGTGGAAAATGCCCATCAGATATTTATGAACAAAGAGGTGCAAGGGTATATCTGATTTTTAAAACTGTAACTTATTCTCACACTTCCACTTAGTGGAAATCTCTCTGGGACTGCGAATGTAACTCTCTAGTCATTTCGGACTCTTAATCACATGACAGCAGCCTGAACTCTGTCAGTGTCTGTGTCAGTATCCACATACCTGGTAATAAGCAAAATGGATCAGTTTGTTAATGATAGTCTGGAAAAAAAAGTTAGTACTTGCAATGTTTAATTGTATTCTTAAGAAAACAAATTTGGCTTTTCAAACTGATTAACTTTGAGAAACAATCTTTTAAACATGGGAAACAAACATATTGCTGCCATGTTTCTATTTAGCTATATATTTATGTAATTGAATATTATATAGTGTTTTAACGTACACATTGAGAAATTGAGCTTAAGTGTTTGAGCAGAAAAGTGGTACATGTTTCAAGACTGTATGGTGCCTTTGTAAGTCTACGTAGACAGACAATGGAATGTAATAATTATTATCCAGAAGATGGTTAATTTTTGAAAGTTGTGTTTCCTTCCAGAACACACATTAGTGTAATATTCTTGTAAGTTGTGTTTAAAAGAGTATTCTTTAACTCACATTAACAAGGCTGTATGTTCTGTCTACAGACTTTTACCTTCCTAGTTGTGGTGAATTTCAGAAATGGTCTTTTAGTTAAGTACATTTCTATATTATGGCAGATGATGCTGTCATTTTATCATTTTAATATTTCTCTTTGCAATTAGGCATTTAAAATATCTTTGTCCAGTTTTGTTCAATAGGGGACTTGATCTGTATTGCCTAGATAGCATTACTGGAAGAAGAGGTTAGAAATTATTGATCTGAGTTAATGTTGATTTGTAGACTTATAAATTTTTAAAAACCATTTTAACAGTTTAAGGGAAACTAAATAGAAGTGTCAGTACTATACCATTTAAAGTAATAGTAGTAATATAGGTTACAGTACTTCCATCTTATTTCTGTCAGCAGGCAAGACTCTTAAGCAGTTGAACTATAAAGAGAAATATTCTAATTAATTTTCTTAACATATGAATATTCTTTGCCATGTGATGTGATTGGTTCACAAGGTTGCGAAACAGTTTTAGTGCCAGCTTCTAGTATGTTTGCCAAAGAAATGTGAAATGTTTGTTAGGAATATTATGAAATTTAACTTCAAATTAAAAAAAAGTAGGATCAGTCTGTTACCATTTACATGCAATGTTAACTAGAAATTCATTTACTGGGCAACCTTTTGAGGTCTGCTGCAGTCCAGGAATACATTTTTTCTGTTACTGCTAAATTTGTCTTGGATATTAAACTGATGTTAATGTGATAGACTGTATGATATTTTCTTTAAATCATTGGTTTTAGTTTATCATATATGTTGTTTTGCCTTTTTAGGAGGGGGTCAATGCTCAGTACAGCCATATTTGTCTATGCTGCTACATCTCCAGTGAATGGTTATTTTGGAGGAAGTCTGTATGCTAGACAAGGAGGTAATTTCTGAGTTACTGTTTCTGTTTTTAATTACAGATTCTAGTATTTCACTGTAAGGTGTATGTAGTTTAAAATGGCCAGTACAGCCATTATAAAGTCATTTGTTATCCAGTTTCACATAATCTCCACCAAACCTGTTACATGTTCTCATCTGCTCCTTATGGAATCCTTACATTTTATTTCCTAAAATTATGAATAATTAGTAGATTATCTCCATTGCCCACTGTGAAGTTAGGCCTGAGGAAGCTGTGGGAGAGAGTGTATTTAAGTTACTAATATTATTTTGCTTTGAGGTGTCTTAATTCCCTAGTAGTGCTCCATGGGAGGCTTCCTCATAGACCCTATAGCTTTACAACTGAACATAAAGGCCTGTTTCATGGTTTATGGATATATGTCTGGGCAGTGGAAGCATACTAGGAAGGAAAGCTGTTTATTTCTGTTGACCCTTAAATACTTATCAAAAGATCCTGCAGAAAGATTTTCTATCACAATCTTTTTGCTAAAAGAGCTTCATCTGAAATACCCCCCTGCTCCTTTACTATTGTGACCTGAAAATGATGGGTGTTCATGTATGATGTGAGGTTTCTGCCTTGTGGTGTTTTTTTCTGTGATAGCATTTAAGGTCTTTAAGTTCCTTTGTTTTTCCTATAATTGGTTGGGGTCAGAAAAGTGATAAAAGTAGTAGATTTGCATATTTCAGTTTATGAATGAAAGGTTGTTGAAAGATGTTAAAATTATATTCCTCAGGATAGAGACTTCCTAATGTGATTTTCCTAGCCCTTCCTAAGCATTAGAGGATCCTGCCCTTCTTTTAGTTTTCTAGACATATAGGCTAGAGGAGCTCAGAACACAGGACCATTTAAAATTCCCCCAGGATATCCTGGTTTACCATAGCTTTAAAAAAAAATTGGTCCTGTCAGACTTAATGTGGTCTATACTGTAAACAGAGATAATTCTTTGGATTGCCTGAAGGAGTGTCATTGCAGATTCCTGACTATTTTAGTTAGCTGTTCAGTTTCTCTGTTCTCCCTCTAGATATGGGAAATGAGTCTTAGCACACAGGTCTACCATCCTGAGGAAGTAAGGATGCCTGAGGTAATGCCTGCTTTGAATTTGATCTGAAAACTGGTTAGGCTAAGAGCTGTACAGTTTATGGTCTCTAGAAAGGTTTCCACAAGAGGAACAGGTTACTTAAAACAAGAAATTGAACACAAATTTGCTTTTAGTATGATTGCAAGTGAAGAACACCCAACCAAACTTAACTTTACTACACTTGTTCTTGAAAGTTGGCAGAGTTCAGACTTAAACTTTGGAGTATCAGATCTTACCAAGAGTAATCTAAAGGTTATTTTCTGATTGACAGTGTCCTGAGAAGATCTGATCATGTCCATGTCCTACATTGAAAGTATAGGATAAGAGAATGCTAGAAAAGAGTTGGAACTTAATAAGAGAAATAGCCACCTTTCAAACATTGATCTATGTCTGTCTACCTAGCTTCTCTGATTGTTAGAGTTTCCCTTTTCTTTCAGGAAGGAGATGGATAAAGCAGATGTTCATTGGTGCATTCCTCATCCCAGCTATGGTGTGTGGCACTGCCTTCTTCATCAATTTTATAGCCATTTATTACCATGCTTCGAGAGCCATTCCTTTTGGAACAATGGTGAGTTGCTTGAATCTTACTTTTAGGCTGAAAGTATGTTGGTGATGGACAGGGAGGCCTGGCATGCTGCAATTGATGGGGTCGCAAGGAGTCGGACATGACTGGACTGACTGACTGACTGATAAGCATTCTAATGTGAACTCTGCTGTCTATCCAGGGTACCTCTAAACCAGGAGGTACCTGAAGTATAACAGCTACCTTTTCCTATTTGCAGCCAGTCCCTACTCAGTCCTGGAAAGTTAGGTAAAGAAAGTTTTTTCTTGATTTTGTCAACCAATGAAGTGAAAGGTTAACTTTAAAGTAAGACAAAAGAGAACAGTGTATTGTTTATTAGAAATGAGGGAAACTGGTGAGTATATTTCGGAGGAAGGATGATGACACACAAGAAACATGGGTGTTTTAAGGTGATAGTTGAGTGCAGTGGTGGGAAGTGAAGACTAACTTTTTTTTGGTAACTGTACTATTTTTAGAACCTCACGAAAGCATTTATATTAATATTGATAACTTACGTGCTATAAATATTTAAATCCTATTTTATATCTTACATGTTATCACAGAGTTTGAAATGTTTTAAATTTTTTAAATATATTAAAACTAAAGCACAGGAATACTGGTGCTTTATAGGGTTAATGCACAGTCTCTTGATTCTTCCAGTTGTTACCATTTTACTAGAAATAGAATTTTAGGCCTAGAGTAGACTTTAGTCTTAGTGTACACTTGTGCAGACATACACACGCACATACACACATACATATGCAAGTTGCAAGGTGGTTACTGTTTTTCAGAGAGGTAATGTAACGTTTAATGTCATACAGATTTAATGGCAGAACTGCAACTGGAACCCATATCTCTGAATTTTAACCTTGTTTTGGGTTTCTTTCTATCATATAGGAGTTATTGAATGGTCTCAGAAAAGTCTAGATGATTGGTTGTTTTACAGTCCAAGTTTTTCAGAGATACCTTGCATATATGTTTTTATTAAATCTTTAATAATTTTTATTTAGGAATATTTTGCAGATTGCTTCAAAATTTGAAGCTTTTTTTTGGTTTGGTTTTTGTTTTTTTAAGCCATGGATACTGATAATGGTTAGGAAAGGGTAAAAGAATTAGTAACATTGAGAACTGGAAAATAATTTGCTTTATAGTAGATCTAGGCCATCAGAAATTATATAGTGAGAGTCAAGTTACTTAGAGGTGAGCTGCCAAATGAATTACTGTCATAGGGCTTTAAAAATTAAAATTCAGATTCTGTTATAATTTTTATCATAAAGTTTTAAATTTGTTATGGTGAAATGTTATTTCAAAGTTGCTTTGTTTCACAAAGATTATAAATGTTGCCACTCTGTAAATGGGGTTTTAAATGTTAACATTCAATGTAATTTACGTTTAGATACTTGAATAATTACTGATTATTCAAATACAGTATCAGACTATAGAGCAAGAGATGGTTTATAAAATTTATCTTTATTGTATAAAAGACTGGCTGTTGGTGCTTAGTATCCTCCTGCAATGTCCTGGTCTTAATGTCCTGGTCTTTGTAATGAAGGAATACTGCTTTCAGGTTGTAATCAGGTGTGTGGTCTAAAATTTTTTCTTCGTTTTAAGAGTATCATAATTTGTTTAGAACATGAAATGTAAGAATTGAGATATTTGACCTAGTTGTCCATTAAGTATTTTAACTATTTAAATTTGTATTTTAAGTTATTTGACTTGTTGACATTATGAAGGAAATGGTTATATTATTCTCATAAACTCCATGGTCCCCAACCTTGGATACACATAGACTCACATGGAAGTTTAAAAAATTTCAATGCCCAGAGCTTCATCCTATGCCAGTTTATCTGTCCTACTTTAAACCCAATCTCTAGTGTTTACCTGATTCTAGTTCTCAGCATCTGAGGATGGATCTGTTAGCTGTAAAGTTCCCAAGTGCCATATGTCTGAGAAACTGGATCCCTTACTTTAATACCCTCGTTTAAAATCAGAGTCTTCAAATAATCCTGTATACTCTTCCCCAGGCTTATTCTATCCCTGTTTTGATTTCATGCCCATTGAGCCCTTTCTCTGGGTAATCTCTGCTCTAGTTCTGTTTTCTCAGAGAGTCCACAGTTGAGGGCTTAATTCATTCTTAGTAAGAGTGACTTCAGCTTCTGTGTTGCCCTGCAGAGGCACCAGAACAATGGGGATTTTGTCCACTTGGAGTCCGGAGTTCTGTCAGAATACTTCTGTTGTCCCCAGGACTAGCCCAAGATAAGATTGAAAGTGGAAGTTTGTCTCTGGACCCCAAATTCTCTGGGCATATGTACCTGTACATAAAAGCCATTAAATCCATGCCAGATTAAATTTGTTGAGTACTTGTCAATCTTAGCAGCTTATTAAAGGTAAAAGAAACATAAATAGAGGGTGGTAGCAGTAATCTCAGCTAATGTCTAGCATCTAGTCTTAAGGCATGATTCCTAGAGAATATTACAAAACTCTATAAGAGAGCATTTAAATGAAATTTGGGGTCAAAGATGGTTCAGAGATGAACATACCTGTTCCTAAAGTTGGCTTATTCTGACCAAGATACTACAGAGAGTTGGAGAGAGTGTACTTCAAATTAAATTGAATCTGGTAAAGCAAAACCTTTTTTCTTTGGAATTTGTTCAAAAATGATTTAAGTGTCATACCCAGAGTTTTTGGTCCTATGAGGGTTTCTTGGGAGTGAGGAAAGGTTTGCCAGGGTATTCTGAAAAAATGTTTTAGGCATCAAGTCTTCTCTGGGTTGTAAATCTCAGATTCTTAATGATATTGGAGGTTTTCAAAGGACAGATAACCAAATTGCAGAGTTTTAAACTCATAGGGACAAAGTAGCATAGAAACTGATAACCTTTCAATCTAAGTATCATTCACCTCAGAATGCACTGATAGATCTGTGACTTATACTTTATGATTTAGTCTCTCAGTGGGTAGAGTAGTTGATGGAGAAGTAAGAGGTCATGAGCCATGTTTGTCATTTTAAGATTGTTTTACCTTGGGAGGGGAATTACCAGAAATGTGCCCTATGTTTTAGGAAAAAAGATTTCACAAATATTTAGGGAAATGCTCTCTCAAGATCCAAATATTTTACCATTACTGGGAAAATGTCATGAGAATTCAGGGGTCTCAGAAATGAAATTCATGAGGTATAATCAGAAATTAACACAGTGAGGAAAGAATGGAGACAAAGATTAATAGATGGGTGCTATTTTGTGATCTCTCAAAGGTTGTAAGGAAGAGTACAGTCAATTGACCATATATTTGTTGGATCTATTTCTGGACTTTCTTTTCTACTTTGTTGTTGCATTGATTGATTCGGGTTGGTTGGTTGGTTGGTTTTTCCAGTATCACACTGTGTTGATTATTGTAGCTTTACAATAAGTCTTGAGATCAATTCTTTTTCAAAGTTGTTTTGGATTTTTTAGGTTCTTTGCATTTCCGTGTGAAGTTTAGAATTGGCTTATCAAATTCTACAGAAAAACCTGATTAGAATTCCGTTAAATCTATTGGATAAATTTGGGAAGAATTCACATCTTAACAATATTGAGTCTTGATTAATGAACATGGTATATCTCTTGATTTGTTTAGACATCTTTACTTTTTCTTTGTAATGTTTTATAGATATTAATGTTTTGGTTTTGTACAGCTTTTATTGAAATTACTCCTAAGTATTTCATATTTTTTATTTTATTCATAAATGGTATTTCTTAAATTAAAAATTTTGGTTGCTTGTTCCTAGTGTATAGAAAAACAGTTGATTTATGCATATTGGCTTTGCATCTTGCAACTTGGCTAAACTCACTTATTAGTTCTTATTTCTTTTTTGTAGATTCCCAGAGATTTTTTGCATATATTGTGTTGTCTAAGAATAAACAGTTTTACTTCTGCCTTTCTAATCTGTATACCTTTTATTGCCTCACTGCACTGGTTAGAGCCTCTAGTTCTTTTCTTTTTCTTGCCTTATTGCACTGACTAGAACCTCCAGTTCAGTGTTGAACAGAAGAGGTGAGAGCAGACTCTTCATCTTGTTCCCAGTCTTAGGGGCAAGATATTCAGCCTTATGCCATCAAGAAATGTTACCTGTTGTTTTTTCATACCTGTCCTTCATCAGGTTGATGAAGTTCCCCTCTATGCCTAGTTTGCTGAGTTTGTTTTATTGTGAAGGGAGGTTGGCTCTTGGAACAATTTTTTATGCACCTTTTGAGATGATCTATGGTTTTTCTTTTTTTAGTCTGATAATATGGTGGATTGCATTGATTGATTTTTGAATCTTAAACCAATCTGGAATTCCATTGATAAACCTCAATTTGTTATGATGTAGTGGCTCAGACGGTAAAGTGTCTGTCTACATTGCGGAAGACCCAGGTTCAATCCCTGGGTTGGGAAGATCTCCTGGAGAAGGAAATGGCAACCCACTCCAGAATTCTTGCCTGGAAAATCCCACGGACGGAGGAGTGTGGTAGGCTACAGTCCATGGGGTCGCAGAGAGTTGGACACGACTGAGCGACTTCACTTTCACTTTATTATTCATTTTATATATAGCTTGATTTAATTTGCTGAAATTTGTTCTTTTTGTTGTTTTGCATCTATGTTTATGAGAAATATTGATCTGCAGTTTTCTTATAATATCTTTTTTTAATGGTTTGGTATCAGGATAATGCTAGCTTTATATTGGATTGGCCAAAAAATTCATTCAGATTTTTTCATACCAGCTTACAGAAAGCCTCAAACTTTTTGGCCAGCCCTGTAGAATAAGTTCTTAACTTCAAATCCAGTGTTTTCTTCTATTATAGTATTGAGTTGCCAGGAATCAGATTGAGAAGTGTTGAAAATATCTATAAGATAGGCTTCTTATAAGTATTTGTGTTTGAGTTGGCAGTGTCCTGATTATTAGGTTGATGATTGTCAGCATGCTTAAATTGAAGCTAATTTTTATATAGACATAAAGGTATACAATGTATAAGTAGAAAAGGAGTGATAAAAATTGTCTGCTCTGAGCTCATGTCAAGGAAATACCTAAACATAATGACTGAGAAGATTGATGTATTTTCTAAGAATCACCTTGTGCTAAGTTGATTCAGTTGTGTCCAACTCTTTGTGACCCCATGAACTCTAGCCCACTAGGCTCCTCTGTCCATGGGATTTTTCAGGCAATACTGGAGTGGGTTACTGTGCCCTCCTCCAAGGGATCTTCCCAACCCAGGGATCGAACCTGAGTCTCTCATGTCTCCTGCATTGGCAGAAGGGTTTTTTAATCACTGGCACTACCTGGGAAGCCTGAGAATCACCCCACCTGTAAGCAATTACTGTCACCCTCAGTGAAATTTATATCCTTTAGCATCCCAAATGGAGAAGGCAACGGCAACCCACTCTAGTACTCTTGCCTGGAAAATCCCATGGACAGAGGAGCCTGGTAGGCTGCAGTCCATGGGGTCGCACAGAGTCGGACACTTAAGTCGAAGCAACTTAGCAGCAGCAGCAGCATTCCAAAATAGCACATTTTGGGCTGCCTGTTCCCTTTCCATTTCACTCACACAGCAGATTTCCTTAAAAGGCCAGTTTGGAAACAAAGATAAAATAATATTCACAATCTTGCCTTCTGACTGAGATTGAGAATAGTTGACCAGTTGGTCCATCTTTGGGGCATTAAGGAGTGATATGCAGTATTTGTTTCTAACTTGTTCTTCTTGTCAGTAGGGGACGCCCTCAACCTGGAGTGAGTCCTTCCTTCCCCCCTCCCTGTTTTCACTTTATACTGATCCGTGAACAAAGGCTCGGGAGCTCTAAGGGAAGGCCCTATATTAGTTTGAGTTCCAGGGTTTTCACCAGTGTATTAGGCTAATGATTTTTTAACTCTTAGTTGCTAAATTTCAAGTTAAATGAAAGCTTAATGTAGAAACCCAAGAAAGAAAGCAGATAATAAGCATGATTCTATTAGTCTAAATAAATTTTGCTAATTCAGTACTTTAACGTTTTAAGTTTAATGAAGGCAAGAAAGTTGTGATGAATACAGATCTAATGTCAAGGGGTAAGATAACATTCTTCTTTAGTAACCAGTTTATTTGGTTGAATATCAATACTGAGAAAAATTCTGACTTCACAGATGATTTAGTTCCATGTGACTCTTTATTTTAACAGCTCGCCTTGCAGTCTCAGAGTATTTCTTCAAGTAAACTCATCCAGAACTTGGACATTAAGGAGTAGGAAGTTGGTTTCACAGTTCAGTCACTAATAGTTTCCAACATACTGCTCAAATTTTTACCATGTATTAAAGTCAGGGAAAGGGGGAGGGGGATTTAAACAAATATAAGCAGTGATAATGTCTTGATGAGACTGTTTATAGGTTCCTTTATTGACTGTTGTTAATGCTTTGAGCATACAGGCAGGGTATGCCTTCACTTCACCTGCCACTTAATTGCTTATGACATGCATGTACTGTAGTGCATTTGCTTATAAACCTTTTAATGAGCAAATATATGCAGGCCAGAATTGGGTGGGAGTGGGGTAGGGGACGGAACAAAAGTCCAGTGTAGGCCTTCCTAATCAGTGATACATTTACTAGGAGTCCAAATATATGTATATACAGAGATAGCAGAAGAAACTTTATTCTGAAGTTTACATGAAATGAGTTAACCTGATTGTGGTATCTCCAGGTATTAATATTTGGTATGAAACTAATTTGAGTCTGTTTATTTTTTTGTTGCTCTTTATTTTTACTTTATTTTTAAAGTTTATTTTTAGTTGATGGATAATTGCTTTATAACATTGTGTTGGTTTCTGCCATGCATCAACTATTACTCGGCCGTAGGTATACACATGTCCCCTCCCTCTTAACCCTTCTCCCACCTTATTTTTTTTGCAGTTAAAAATAATTTTTTTTTAAAAAAGCTATTTTCAAAAGGATATTCGAATCAAGTGCTTGTGGAATTCCTAACTAAAACTTTTTTCAGCAGGACCTGAGGGTTCTGTGGAACAGTTTGAAAACTACTTTGGTAGACCATGTCATTCCACATAGGAATGTTTTCTCAACAACTTCTCTTCAGTCCTTGTTTGAAATTAGAGTTCTGGTAAATTAAGGGAAAATATGTAGGCCTCTTATTACAATGTTTTAATATTTATGAGTTTTATATACTTAATGGTAGCGAAATAATAATTAAAAAACAACAAAAATTGAGACAGAATTCAACCCCCAAATATGGGATATGTATAATTCACAATATATCCTAGTATTTAAAATATCTTTAAAACATCTGCCTGTTTTTTATGTTTCACCTTTTCTTATTATTCATACAAGCAGAAATTCATATTATTAACACATCTAAACTGAGATACCACTGATTTGAGTTTCTGAGTCTGAGCTTTAAAATGGAATGTCAGAACTCTTAACTTACTACTTTTGTACGAGTTTTACTGGGCTTCCCTGGTGGCTTAGATGGTAGAGTCCACCTGCAATGCAGGAGACCTGGGTTTGATCCCTGGTTGGGAATATTCTCTGGAGGAGGACATGGCAACCCACTCCAGTGTTCTTGCCTGGAGAATCCCCATGGACAGAGGGGTTTGGTGGGCTACAGTCTCTGGGGTCGCAAAGAGTCGGACACGACTGAGCGACTAAGCACTACCTGAAAGGAAAATGATGACGCTCTTTGGTTCGTTTAAACGCATGCAGGCACACATCAGGGTGTAATGAAGATGTAGAGTTTTCAGTAATGTTGCTTCAAAATAGATTCTTTCCTTCTCATGTCATCACTGTGGATTTTCTACCCCACACCTCTTCATTTCTCTGTTAATTTCTTCACAATTTTCATTCAGCTTTTTTCTCTCACTGTTGATTTATTAGAACCCCAAAATACATATTTGAGAGATCCTAGAGTCGTGATTCAGTTCTGTTTTAGTTGTAGAAGTTCAGAGTGAACTAATCCTGATTTACATGCTGGCTGGAAAGAGCTGAGTGCGTCTCTGTAAGAATACAAGTTTATATTAAAAAAAAAAATCACACCAAAAAATGCTTTCTTAACTTTGGTTCTAGAATCTCTGTATGGTCTCCCCTGTAATGTTAGACTTTGGATTACTAATAGGCAGAGAAATACTCATATTATTTTAGTAATATACATATATGCATAAATAGTGATGTTTTCTTATTTTTAAGATCCTAAAGCACTGTAGAATAGAAACGAGCAGACAGAATGAGACAGGCAGATCTGAATTGAAATCTTAGTTTGGCTTCCTACTAAACTGTGTGATCATGGGAAGTCACGTAGCCTCTCTGTCTCATTTTCTTCACCTGTGAAGTAGGGTAATAACACGTGTAAAGGTCCTTGAGCTTATTAGGAGCTCAGTGAAGTATAGACAGTGTGCAAGAATAGGAAATATTGGGAACTACAGTTGATAGGAAATATGGTTCAACTTGTATTTAGTTTAATTCTAATATTTTAAAGCACATTCTTTTCCTATTGCTATTAGTATGTATTCTGCACAGTTTTAACCCATTTTGAACTTAAACATTTTCTTTTATAATCAAATTGCGTTTAAATTTTTTTATCCTTTTTATTTGTTTTTGTTAATATTATTGTTCTCTGAGTAATCACACACATTTTAATTTAATTTACAGGTGGCTGTTTGTTGCATCTGTTTTTTTGTTATCCTTCCTCTAAATCTTGTTGGTACAATACTTGGCCGAAATCTGTCAGGTCAACCCAACTTTCCTTGTCGTGTCAATGCTGTGCCTCGTCCCATACCGGAGAAAAAATGGTAAAGAGAATGCTAAATTTTCTTTGATTGCTTCTCATAATATATAAATTCTTAAGGCTATTGTGTATACATAATACAATTTTAGAATTGGCATGTATTTATAAGTTTAAACTTAAGATTTGTCTTTTTCTTTCTCCTTCAACTTACATTGTTAGGAGTAGTAATAAATGGTATCTTTATTTCACTTTTTGAATATTAGTGCCATTCACAGAGAAATCAAATGCTTTGGTCAGTACACTAGTTCATAGAGGTGGATAGGCCCTAACGCAGCAGCTGTTGTATTACTGCAGCCTATAAACCAAATCTGTTTTTATAAATAAAGTTTTGTTGGAATATAGCCATGCCTGTTTGTTCCCATATTGTCTATGACTGCTCTTCCACTATAGCATCAGAGTTAAACAGTTATGACAGACACCGACCATATCACCTGTAGAACATGAAATATTATCTGAGCCTTTACAGAAAAAGTTTGCCAACACCTGGCTTACAATTTCAGTGTCCTTTCTACATTTTTTATTCAAAACAAAATTGACACACATTTATAGACATATATTTTGAATCAATTGAGAGATGAACTTGGGCTTCCCAGGTGGCACTAATGGTAAAGAATCTGCCTGCCAATGCCAGAGATATAAGAAAGGCCAGTTCAATCCCTGGGTTAGAAAGATCCCCTGGAGTAGGAAATGGCACCCCACCCCAGTATTCTTGCCTGGAAAATTCCATGGGCAGAGGAGCCAGGTGGCCTCCAATCCATAGGGCCACAAAGAGTTGAATATGACTGAGCACATAATTTACTGACCTACATTGTTTATCGTCACTTCTGGGATAGTATAGAAATCTCTTAGATACATTTTTGTCATTTTATGCACAAAATATATTTTTGAGGATCTCCCGTAATTCAAGATTTAATCCTGACAAAAAGATGACAGGTATTTCTGTTTAATAGCTAAAGCTATTCTTCTATTGCAGTAGTTTAAACATAGTTTATAGTTCTTTTAGTCAGCTTTGAAATAGTGATTCTTGATGGATTTTTAACTTGAGATGGTTTTTATTTTTTCAACCTTGGACATAAAATGAGATATCACTAATACGTTTATACTTCTAATTTTTGTAATTCAAATTTAAATAAAATAAGAACTCACTGTGCATATGTTTTGCCCTTTAAAATTAGCATATTGAATGTTTTAGTGCTGATTTATGCTATTCTGCATTCTTTATTTTACTAATTCTTACAGACATAAATAGAACAATCTTATTGCATGTTTTTTTATTCCCCATCTCATTAAAACAGCTATATGGTAGACTCTACATATTCATAATAGGGGATATATATTGAAATGCCTCTGTTCATAGATATTTTGCTATATTATAAATATTACTTATTTTCAAGTACTTATACAGTCTTTTGAAGACCTGGAGGTATGTAGACATTTGCAGAAGTGGAAGCTGGATAAAATAGCCCCATAATTTAAAGGAGAGTGATCTGTTCTAGTCTTAGGAATTATACATGTTATTTTTATTTTTATTTTTATTTTTTTTTAGATTAGTGCTATGAGAACGTCTGTAGTCTGTGTTTTAAAGTCAGTTTTATCTTCTTCAAATCAAGATTAGCCTGTTAAGGCCCATTGATATCCTGATGTTCCTTCACCCATTACTGAGGAGGATATGATTAAAGTAAAAGCCTAGTCAGAAATCACAAAAGTTCCTCTGGGTCACTAGACTGATGAGAGGAAGGAGTAACCTGTACCCGTACTAACCATGGGTCACGTTTAGGTATAGGAAAGGCTCACATGTCTCTTTATTTTCTCTATGTCATTATATGGGAACCAAAATCCACATCCTAGATCTGGCAGGCAAGTCATTTTTAACCTCTGTGGATCTTGACTTCTTATAAAAGGAAGAAAGGAGATGAGATTAAATGATCTTTTTTTTTTCAGCTCTCAAACTCATTTTCTTCTCAATTTTGTAGTTTGTTCATGTCAGAAATGGTAGTTTGCTGTCTTTCATGTGCAGTGTACTATGCCAGGCACTGAGAATACCTAGATGAATAGCTTCTGCCTGCCAGGGTTTATAATCTAGTGAGTAATTATATAAGTAATTAGTATAGTATAGTGTGGTAAGTGCAGCCTTGGAGTTATGTTCAGGAGGCAGTCGAAGAACCCACCTCTGGCTGGGAGACTTGGGAAGGGCATTATAGGGAGAACACTCGAGCCAGTACTTGTAGGAAAAGAAATATGAGACAAAGGAGGGCATTCAGGGTTGGAGAATTACTGACTGCAATCAGTAAATATTTGTTGAGTAAATGAATGAGGTTTGAATTTTATTTTTGAGTCATTCTTTGACTCCTTTTATAACTCAGAACTCATAATACTTTAATTGTATAATTCAAAGGAAAAGGAATTACTGAACCAAGGAAAGCATGAGCAAAGAGACTGACAAGGCCACAATTTGGGAAACATTATTTCAGATGGGGGAGGCAGTTTCAAAGCCTATATTTTCTTTTCCTATGGCTTTCTGTAAGTAAAGGACTAAAATTTTTAGAAGTTACTGTTAAGTATAGATCAGGAGGAGACAGAGTTTTTCTTGAGTTCTGTCAGTAGCAAGAATTTGTGTTCCTGAAATTCTTATCTTGGGCTGTAATGCCAAAAATAATTTTAACAATACAATTTTAACTATGGCTAATTTGAAATCCCATTTCAATATTGTGCCTCTTTGAATTTTTGTTTTTTCTCTTTACTGGCTTATTTCTGTCCTTTAGATTATTTTTAAGTACCAAGTATTCTGATTCCTGTTATCAGAGTTAATATAATGTGGAAATCATACTAGAAGTTCACTGTTAATATTTTCCAGGTTCATGGAGCCTGCAGTCATTGTTTGCCTAGGAGGAATTTTACCTTTTGGCTCAATCTTTATTGAAATGTAAGTTTTGGCAATGTATTTATGTTTCAAGAGATTTCATTGTAATAAGATACAGGAAATATGGGAGTTAGGGTGGCTCCCCCTTCCCTCACCCAGAGCACTGCTTAGATGCTCCTCTTAGATGCATTGGTGAAGCGCCTGTCATGGTGCATCATGATTGTCCCTTGATTGATGTTCCGTGCTGAACTCATCTCATTGAGGGTAGAGACTGTTTAACCCTGTTCTCGCTGCTTCTCTGATATGTGTAGGGCTTCTGTAAATATCTGTGGAAAGAATGGGTAATAGATAAGGTAACTAGCAAGCAGAAGGGAACAAGAAAAAGAAAAGAGGTTAAAAAAACCCTTTTTGTTTTAATGATGGCTTGTGTAATGGAATTAGAGGAAAGGATCTTTTTTTGGTATAAAATCATAGTGCCCTTTCTCTTGCAGTCCTGTGAAAATGGCACAGAGCTTTCTTAGACTTTCTTTTCCTAATTATTTTCATTTTCCTAATTTTATACATTATTACCATATCAAACCTTTTTAAAAAATTTAATCAGGTGTTTTATAAACTGTGTTGCTTGTATAGTAATATGTAGAAAAAAATAAATGAAAGAATTTATTTTAAAAATATGAATTTTTAGTTGTTTTCATTTTTCTTTTCCACAGTACACTCCTAAAGCTTCTCATTTATTCAGTTTACTTAGAGATGAAAGGGGAGGAAGGGAAACTTTTGAAAGTTGCTTGGAAGAAAAATATTGAGATTTAAGTGATAACTAAGGTGCAAATGAGATTTAGCAAGAACAGTCTAAGTTTTATGAATAAAGATTGGAAAACTGTGTCTTTGTTGGCTGTATTTAGGTATTTCATCTTCACCTCTTTCTGGGCGTACAAGATCTACTATGTCTATGGCTTCATGATGCTGGTGCTCGTCATCCTGTGCATTGTGACTGTCTGTGTGACCATCGTGTGCACGTACTTTCTACTCAATGCAGAGGATTACAGATGGTGAGTACTTACTTCTGGGAGGAACTTCTGGGGACCATATAATTTAAAATAAGATTGCATTTGAAATGTATCAAGTGAAGTAAAAATCTATATACAAGTTTTCTTAAGATAGTGTAGGAGTTTTTTCAATTATAAAAATATTGATGATTTTAGAGAAAAGAATAGTATCAGTCAAAAAAATTGGGAGTATTAATGAGGGTCACTATTTTAAACATGAGACATTTGAAAAAGGAAATGGTTTATTTAAGGTCATTTGTAATTAGAAATCTGACAAAATTTAGGATCTCTCCTTCCAGTTCTTTGGCTTTCTCCTTGTTGATATATTTAAATGCCATTATACATGCATTTGTCTTTAAATATATAGAATCATAAAGGATGTTTTATAAAATGCTTTGCTTTAAAATCTTTCAGTGTGATCCATTCAAAAGAGTTACTTTTTTTCTTTAGGCAATGGACAAGTTTTCTCTCTGCTGCATCCACTGCAATTTATGTTTACATGTATTCCTTTTACTACTATTTTTTCAAAACAAAGTAAGTGAAGACATTTTCTCATTTTGTATTTTAGAAACTAAGTATCATTTAAATGCTAGAATTTAGGCCTTTTGTTGAAAGTAAAAATGGATATGCTGTATATAATTTTTTGGTTTTATTTCAGGATGTATGGCTTATTTCAGACATCATTTTACTTTGGATATATGGCGGTATTTAGCACAGCCTTGGGGATAATGTGTGGTAAGTTCTGAAATTCTTGGAATATCATGAGTAAATCTCTGAGTGTTTCTGAATCAGAGAAATACAGTTTTTGGAAACTGAGAAATAACCTTCTATTGTTTGATCAGGAACACCAAAAGAAACTCAGACATCTGATTTCAGTCCTTTTAACAATTCCTCAAAATCTGATTTATTACCTCACTGATTTCTTTAATTTGCTGTTTTTAATAATTGTGTATAGCACTATTTCCCATATCACAATTAGTTTTTCATTCATGTTGAGAATTGCCTTTTTTTTCTTTAAGCTTAGATTGTTTGGAAAAGATTGTTGTGTAAACAAGTTAAGGTTTTGGCCAAATGATTTTTGTTTGGAAGTTTCTGTTCCCCTGTTCATTGAGGTAAAAGTGTCCAGGAGGCAGCACAATTGACTGGTTATGAGTACACACTTGGGTGTTTGCAGACTGGGCTTAAGTTCTGGCTGTGCATTCTATGGTTCTATACCTTGATCCAATTCCCCAAGCTCTCCAAGCATCTATAAAAGGAGGATATCACTGTTTCATGGATCTATTACAGTCTTCCATTAAATGGAAGAGGTAATAGTTATCACCATAAATAGAGTGTATAGTATGTGTGAAATAGCTAGAAAATGAAGAAAGAACTTTTTAGAAGCACCATGAAAAATGGAAAAGACATGGACTGGAAAGCCTAAGAGACCTGGATTAAATCTCCATGCTGCCACTTAACCTTCTTTGTGGCCATGGGAGGGCATATTAACCTAAGTCTCATTTTCTAATCTATAAAATGGACATATCTTTCAGAGTAGTTATCTGTAATAGTGTCATGTATATAAAGCACCAGGTATAATGCAGGTCTGTTATTAGGTGGTGAGACGTATGAGATGTGGTGGGGAGTTTTGGGGAGGAGCAGGACTTCGGAGGGCCAGTCTTGATTGTGAATCATAGTGCCCCTACTTAATAGCTAAATTTTTTGAATGCTTTTCCTGTTGAAATTTCATCTTGCTGCCTGACAGTCCTGGCACATGTACAGTTCCCTGCTGTTCTGGCAATGTCCCAACATTTATTCTTTAATGGGTTTATATGCCTTCAGTGCTAATCTGTTTTTGTCAGGGAGGGGAACGAGTTCACACTGGAAATGATTAAAATGTCATCATAATACAGAAATTATACATACTCATCTGATTATATTGCTAATATGCTTTTTCAATCAGTAATTGAAAGAAAAAAATATATTTTTTAATGTAGAAAAAAATAATTTTGTTAAGGGGGAAATTTAATTAGATTGCTGCAGACTTTATGTTTTGAGCATAGCATTTTAGTTTTTAAAAAATTAAGTTTGGTATTATTCCCAAGACATTTATTTTTCTAGAGAGCATATTCAGTCTCTTCCTTTTATAAAGTAATATTTTATAAGGTTATTCTTGAGATACTCATAAGATTAAGAAAAATGATTCTCTAGATTGACACTATTTTGCTTTTAAGCATACCTCTGCTCAAAAGGGAAAAATGTTTTATAAGTCTCGAAAATTGAATTTGCTTATTGGACTAGTACTGTATTGTGCCAGTTAAATTTTGATTCTACCAAAAATTTTACAGATACTTTAAATTAAAAAGAATTTAGGTTTTTAAAATTGGTTATTTCCACTTATCTTGTAAGAACTTATATATAGCTATTTTAAAATGAATTATCACTAATTTTCAAGGATAATATAATTTCATGTTAAAAAATGTGTCTATTTATTACAAAAATAGGTTTCCTTTATTGTCTGGGTGGGTTTTTAAAATATTCTCGATATTTAATTATGGGGAATTTTCAAATATATACAAAAAGAGAAACAGTAGTATATATGTAGTGAGTCCCCATGTACCTAACACACCTAACATCAGTAATTGTCAACTTGTATCCAGTCTTGTCTTCGTTCTTTTCCCACTTTACCTCCTTTTTTTCTGATGTGAATCTCGAACTTCATGTCATTTTAGCCATAAATATTTGTGTGTGTGGGTATATAGATTCATCAAATGTGCAGTGTTTATATAATTATTATATAGCTATAATATATAAGAATGCAGTTATATAATAATATTTTAATATATATATATAATTTCCTAATGTGCTCAAATATTCACTTAGTATTCACTTTTATCACACACATCCTCATTTCTTTTTTAATACAGTTTGCATCAAGATCCAATTAAAGTCCATGCATTGGTTGGTAAAACTGTCTTTTAAGCAGCTTTAAATCTATTGATGTTTACTCTCTTTTCCCTTGCAATTACTTAAGAAACTTAGGTTTTGGTTGGTTGGTTTGTTTGAAATCCTATTGAGTTTTTCACTCTGGGTTAGGCTGATTGTATCCCTAAGGTATTATTTAATGTTTCTCTGTGTGCTTCCCCCTGTATTTCCTGTAAAGTGGTAGTTAGATCTGTAGACCTGATCATACTCAAGAATACCTGTCCAAGAACACTTTACAGGTGGTTTGTAAACTTTCATAAGGAGGCACTTAAATGTCTGGTTGCCTCTGTGAGGTTAGCAGCCGTGGATGATTATTGCCTAGTTCTTCCTCTAAGTCATTAGTGGTTACAATATTCTCATTCCGTTGTTCCTTTTATGTTTATTAGCTGGGACACTTCTCTAAGGAGAAACTTCCTTTCATCAGCCATTTGATTCCATTGAGGTACAGTTTACATATGTATAGGAAAGGCAGGAAGACTTATTTTTTCCTTGCATACACCAGTTGGGTGAATAAAAGTTAGTTCAGAGGTAGCCAGTTAGGTGTGTGTGTGTGTATCATTAACTCACAGAAGACTGACTTTTAGACTTTGATGGTAAATTCCTAAATCCAGTGGAGAATCTTCTCTATCATACAAATGACCACCTGTCTTGTTCTAAAGATCTCTTAGTATTTACAGTAGAGAACTATACAGTTAATTCATTCATTCAACAAATATTTATTGAGTATCTTACCATGTGCCAAGTACTTTTTAAGGGCTAAGAGTCAGAAACTTAATTTAACAAAACAGAAACACTCCTGCTTTCTGGTGTTTTGAGCCCTGTTTGAGGCTAATTATTCAAAAACAGCATTTCAAAATTCCTGATCTACTTATCTGTCTCTCTCACCCATGTCCTCAAATGCCTATCTTTCTACCAATCATACAGCTTCTACAATTTAAGCATAAAAAAGAAGTCATCGGAAATGTGTCCTCTCTAGAGCTAAAGATGCTATTGGGCCATGGGTCTCAGTCATTCCCTGAGAGAACCCCCAGTCACTTCTTACTAAATTATCCATAAGTGTATCATATTGTTTGGAGAACATGTTAGTATTGTTTTAATAACCTAGAATAATCTATGCTTAAATTTTTAAAAGACTTTTTTCATTTAATGAATTTTTGTCATTCTGAAATTATTCTTTTTAAGAGATTATTTTAATTCATATAGTTCATAATTCATGAAATAATTGATATTTAACTATAAAAATGTTACATCAGGCCAGACTTGGTATATGACAGCAACAGGTAATTTGCAAAACAAGTGACACTATTTTAGTAAGTTTAGGGAGAATGCTAACATTAGATATTATCTTAAAAAAAAGAATAACTTTCCAGAGCAGAGAGCATTTAGTGTTTGTTTGTAAATGATGGGTATATGCTCTGTATGTATTTGTTTCAAAACATCTTATTTTATCTTTACAGGAGCAATTGGTTACATGGGAACAAGTGCCTTTGTCCGAAAAATCTATACTAATGTGAAAATTGACTAAAGACCCAAGAAAGCCTGGAACTTCGGATCAATTTCTCTTTCACAGGGGTGGAACTTGCACAGCAAAAAAAAAAAAAAAGCGCAAGAAGAGATTTGGGCTTTAACACTGGGTACTTTGTGGGTCTCTTTCGTGGATGGCTTAAAGTAACATCTATTTCCATTGATCCTAGGTTCTTACTGACTGCTTTCTCCAACTGTTCACAGCAAATGCTTGGATTTTATGCAGTAGGCATTACTACAGTACATGGCTAAACTTCCCAAAAACTAGCTCATTAAAGATGAAATAGACCAGCTCTCTTCAGTGAAGAGGACAAATAGTTTATTTAAAGCATTTGTTCCAATAAAATAAATAGAGGGAAACTTGGATGCTAAAATTACATGAATAGAAATCTTCCTGGCACTAGTGTTTCTACAATACTGAAAAATGATGTTCCAGAAAGATTACTTTTTTCTCTTATTTTTACTGCCATCATCAACCTGTTGTGGGACATTTTTATATATTGAACCTGGGTTCTTTTTTGACCTGCTTTTTTTCTGCCCCCAATTCAACTGCATCCTTTTTTTTTTTTTTAAGAGAAAATTTTAAAATATTAAATCCTGCATGTAATATATCTGCTGTCATCTTAGTTGGACCAACTTCCCATTTATTTATCTTAAAACTATCCAGTTACATCTTAATTCCATCCAAAGAAGATACAGTTTGAAGATAGAGGTGTACTCTCTACAATGCAATTTACTGTACAGTTAGAAAGCAAATTGTTAAATGGAGAAGATATTTGTTTTTATTAAACATTTTGAGATTTAGATAAACTACATTTTAACTGAATGTCTAAAGTGATTATCTGCCCCCTCCCCCCAAGTTAGTCTTACATCTTTTTTGGGTTTGAATGAAGGTTTTACATAAGAAATTATTAAAAACAAGGGGGGTGGGTAATAAATGTATATAACATTAAATAATGTAATGTAGGTGTAGATTCCCAAATGCATTTGGATGTACAGATTGACTACGGAGTACTTTTTTCTGATGATGATTGGTGTAGAAATGTGTGAATTTGGGTGGCTTTTTACATCTTGCCTACCAGTGCATGAAACATTGGGGTTTCTTCAAAATGTGTGTGTCATACTTCTTTTGGGAGGGGGATTGTTTTCTTTTGTTTTTCTTCCTGAGACTCCCTACAGGAGCCAAATTTGTAATTTAGAAACATTTAATTTTGTTAATCCTGTCTGGGGCACTTAAGTAACATCTGAAGCATTACTGCTTTAGAATGTTAAAATAAAATTTCCTGACCAAATTGTTTTGTGAAAATACATGTGTTTGCAATTTGAAGATATCTTTTCAAAAGACAGTATTACTGAATGCAGAGGGTTTTTTTTTTTTATCATGCTTTTCTGATACAAGGGACCCATACTTTAAAATCCCCAATATTGCTTTCATCTAGATTATCCAGTGCAGTCACAAAATGAATGAGAAGCCCTTTGAATGAAATTGTGGCACAAAATCTGTTCAGGTCAGTGTACTGTGTAAAGTGGGGATGGGTAAAAGTGGTTAGTGTACTAGAGGATGAGCAAATAAAGCTTACTGTTTCCTAAGAGAAGTAATTTTAATTTTGAATACATCTTTCTGGAACGGTCCATAATGTGAAGTTTTCCTAGAACCATTGAGTTTCTAGTTTAATAGTTTGCTATGCAAATGACCACCTAAAAACTATACTGTATATTGGTATTTTTAGAAAGACTCAAAACATTTTAACCTTAATGTATTTAAACCTTAACATGAAGTTCATGCCACTCAGAGTTACATAAGGTGTTTTTATTACAAAATATGTTTCTGTTAATTAATAGACTCTGCATCCTTTAATATAGCATTAAAGACTATAAAGGGTGGCAAGTTTGATTTCTTAACCACTTAAAATACGACTGACATGAACAAACAGAAATTTGATCAAAAGCTATTGGTAAATCCTCTTCTTCAAGCCAAAATATTAAGTATAACCTGCTAGTTCCTTCATTTTCTGTTTTTTCTCACACCTGCCTTTGAGATCTAATAAGAAAACTAAAAGTTAGTACTTAATGGCTTATATTATATAACTTTTAAACTACATGTAAAATTCTTATAAGAACATAGAGTCTATCTGATATATTGTAAATTGGGTGGCAAGCTTCTATCTTTATAAAATGAAATTTGTTTCTCATGAATCTTTCAGGTAAAATACAGGGTTTTTAAAGAATGAGTGGTTTAGCTGCATTCAGGTACACCAGTTCTTTTACTAAAGTAATCTGTATTTGAAAATCTTTGGAATCTTCACTGAAAAATAATTTTGTAATATCTAAATACGTGAAGAACTATTAAAATGAGTATAAGTCACCTTGAAAAGTCCTTTAGAAAATAGGTATTGGTTTATGGCTTTGTAGAGGGGCTGGGTTTTGTGTGTGTGTGTGTGTGTGTGTATGTATGTGTATGTGTGTGTATGTCTTGAAGAAGATGTAATCCACAAATAGTTTAGTTCCATAGCTTTCAGTTGTAGAATAGCAAAATATATTATTTAAGTTAATCAAAGGGTAGGATTTTTCCACTTCATAAATGCTATTTGTCTTTCATTTATTAACATTTGCTCAACTTAGCAGCTGAAGTTTTGAATACTCTCACAAACTGGGGACTTGTATCTGAAAGCACGCTTCACCTGAGACTTAGCTACACTGGTGACATTGATGTGTATACCCTAGCACAAGAGTGGGCTTCCCGATGGCTCTGACGATAGAGTCTGCCTACCGTGCGGGAGGCCTGGGTTTGGTCCCTGGGTGGGGAAGGTCCCCTGGAGGAGGGCATGGCAGCCCACGCCAGTATTTTTGCCTGGAGAGTCCCATGGACAGAGGAGCCTGGCAGTGCAAGAGTAGGATAAGGTGGAAATGTAGTGACTGGAAAGTTGGGAAAGCATCCATCATGTTGAGCTTCTGGATTGTATGGAGTTTGCCCAGAAATTAAGCCCCATGCCCTTGGAATTAATTACATTGTGGTGATTTCTGAACATAGTGAATGGTATGCTTGAGTGTTTTCCATTGAAGAGTGGATGGATCCCTTTATAAAGGTGGTTGCTGCAAACTCCAGTTCTTCCAAAAACCACTTTATTCAGGGTTTATCCACAAATTGTATTCATTTTGATAAAGCTTTTGTTTCCTAGATGTTTACTGATCACCATATGCCAAATGTTTTACAAATAAATATTAGTTGAAGATTTCCTGATTTTTTTTTTTTTTTACAAATGTAAAAAAAAGAAATAATGTATTAGTGCAGTTTGTTCAGGAAAAGCTTCATATGGAAGGGCTTCTGTATAGGAATTTTGAGAAAGAAAAGCCTATTTGTAATCTATACACTGCAGTTTCATCTGGGTTTTAGGCTTAGGTTTTAGTGTGTCTTAGTGCTTCATTCTATTGATTTATTGGCACACGTAATTAATAGGAGTAGTGACATGAAAATACAAGTATTCATGAATGTTTTATATCTTCACAAAAATTACATAGTTATGAAGCTATATTTTAACAATATGTTAAGGAGACCAGAGAAGTGAAAATTTATCAAGACTGGAAGTGTGTATAGAAATAGACTAGATTTAGAGGTAAGGTAGATCAGAAAGTTGACATATTGGTGCAGAAAGTTTATAAGATTTAAATTCAGTTTGAGGAATAACTTGTTCTGTGAGCATTTTCTAAAAGCCATCTGATTTGACCTCTTTAGAGCTGTAGGCAGACTTGTGCAGACAAAGGAAAAATTAAGTTCTTGTTTCACTGTTACTAGGATATGGAAATAAACTGTTGTGAAAAGTGTTCATCTTGAAGTATTGGTGAACGGGGCTAATAATTGATAAAGCAGCATTTTGTGTGCTTGCCCCAGTTCATCAGTTTAGGTCATTTGAAGGTTGTAAACATTAAAAGTAAAAGGTTAAAGGAAAGGAGGAAATAACATGGCATTCTATTTGAAGGACGACAGAGTATCTTGGGAAAAGCAGTCCCACTTGGGGTTTCCAGCTGTGTCAGACTTGAACCTATAAATCCCGGAGTATGGACAATTGGTGACAGAGTTGGAAGGAAACAGTTACTACTCAGTGATGACTTCCATTTTTGTACTCACCCGTGATTTGTGTAGGCCATGTTCCAACTGGCTTTTTAGTAATAGAAATCCAGTGCAGTATATAATGTATCACGTTTGAAGTTCTAATCTAGTCTGTTAATCTAACTGAAGTTGAATTTTTAAAAAGTAATAAAAAGTCAAATGTTCTTCCCTCGGATGCTTTCTTTCTTTCCTTTTTGAAACAGATGATCCAAGCATAAAGGATAACCCATTATTATTGGCATGCATATGAAGAGATTACTAATAGCTTTCCACAATTAAATAAAGCAGGGGTCAGCAAGCTTTCTGTAAAAAGCCCAATAGGAAATACTTGAGGCTTTGAGAGCCGTACAGTCTGTGTCACAACTGCTCTGCCATTGTAGCGCAACAGCCATGGGAGACAGTACATCAGCTAATGAGCATGGCCCTGTTCCAATAAAACAGCAGAAACAGCCCGCAGGTCATAGTGTGCTGACCCCTGAAACAAAGGATTTAAAATTTGAGATTTGGGTATTTTCCCCAACTTCATACTTTGAGGGAAAAAATGTACAGAAAGTGGGAAGAATGGTATAATGAATCAGATTTGTCTTTTTAAGAAATGATTTTTTTCTCTCATTACCATTCTTTTGACTTTCTTTGTATACAAACTCTGACTCCAGCATTCAAACCCTTCTGTCCCTGTCATTCTCCTGATTGAGAATACTTTGTATTTGTCTAGTACTACTGTTGCACAACAGTTTCACTTGCTTCCTCTCACAGCTATCCTGTGAAGCTGATAGCATAGGCAGCTACATTTTAAGAAACTAGAGCAGCTAAAGAGTTCCTTTTTAGCCCAGAAGTAATCAAAATTGGGTCCTATTGTTTTGACGGCTGTAACTGTGAAATGGGGACGTCACTTCTCCGGCTTATGGAAAGAGATATTCATAGAGATCACATTGGAAATGAGTGTTCTATAGCAATGGATGGGATTGTTTTTATTGTACTACTAATATATCAAAAGTAGTGGCGAACTTCTCCTAGTTTATTTGTACTTTTTTTCATCTTCAGTTTTAACTAGTTATTTAAATTCTTTTTAGCCTCCTTGGTTCTTTTCTCCCCCTGATTTTATTACCAGCCCCAGTTGACACCTTACTTGGAAATTCTTGTTAGCTGAATAGTTTAAATTGGTGCAAATTTGAGTACTTTAGATCTCTTTAGTGGGCACTTTTGTCTGGTTGGAAAACTAGGAGTTTAATAGAGGAAACTTTTATACAACCAACTTCTGAATTTCACAGTGAGAGCTTTTATTAAATAGCTAATCAACAGTTTTAACATTAGAACAGGAGGGAATAAATTTGTGTTGGGACACATGGAGTCAATGGTAATGCAGTCTACAAATGTTTTTAAAGTTATCTTCAAGGTTTTGCATACTTAAGGTGGTAGGAGTTTCAAATTTTTTAAACGGAGGACATAGTTGTAGGATGGATTTTGACATAAGTCATTTAAATTGGCCCATGTCACAGTTCTTATGGCTCTGTGTAAGCCACTAAGATTGTGGGACCTAACCTTGGAGGTCACTGAAGGGAAGAGAGGGTCCAAAGAGGGTCCAGAGAGTAAGACTGGTCTGATACAGGTTAGAGACCCAGAAGGGACAGACAAATAGGTTAAGTGTCATAGGTGTGGTAGCTGCTGTAATGTTGGCAATGAAGATGCAGCCTGTGTGGTGGCGAAGTTGTGCCCGGCAAAGACATGGAGCAGCAAGGCCCTATTAGGATGAATGCAAGATGTTTAATGCAATGTGAGTAGCCATAATGGAGATGGCAAGAGCTCAAGGCTGGGATACACATGTAAGGACAGTCTGATGGTGGATGGAGGGCCTGATGTGCCACCCTTAAACGGGCTTGAGTAGGGGTCTCAGCCACAGAAGGTTTTAAACGGCTGCTGAAAATTGTAACAGTATGAAATATTTAAAAAACTCAAAGTACTGTCTCAGTGGTCAGTTCGTGTAAACTAAGAAGTAAACCAGCAAATGATGGTGCCCTCTTTACCCTGAAGGGGCTGCTCCCTGCCTTGGAGAAGGTGGTGTGGTACCCTGGAAAAGCATGAAGAGGAAGAAGGGACCTCTACTCTGCGGAGTAGTTATGGAGGATAAAACTTGGTAGAGGTGGAGGCGTTTGAGAGCGGCTGTAAGAGAGCTGTGGAACTCAGCATAGGGCATAGCAGCAAAGAGTTGAGTGGATGACAGACATCTGACTGAGAAGGGACAATTGTATGGACTTGTGATCATGAGCTGTGGAGGAGGAAACCCACAAATAACTAATGGAACTGAGTTGAGTGGCTTTAGATCCCAGAGCCTTTTATTCCAAAATCTATCTCTAGTTTTTTTCATCGAAATTAAAAACTACATTTATAAAAATACTTGAGCCAGATTAGAGTTTATAAAAGTGGTGAGTGAAATCAGAAAACGAAGCTGAGAAAAAATATTAAGCATCACTTTCGATTGTTTCTAAATTTTCTGTATTATGGCTCAAGTAGTTTGTTCATACTTGTTTGATAGCCTCTAAGATAGCATTCAAACAGGGCATCTGACATAAAGCTGCAGTTTGCTCATCCCAGAGCATGACTGTCTTCAAAATGTTTGGGCAAAGAATGTTGGTGAGAAGCCTGGCAGCTACTCACGAGGTGGGGATTAGAGGCAATAAAAGCTCACAACCTCGGTGCTTGCACAAGAGGTCGCCTGTAATGTCTATTTTCCGGAGGAATTCCCTGCTAATGAGGCCAGTTGGCTGTTCGCCTAGTGCCATCTGGAGACCTGGAAGTGTCACAGAAGTTTGTTAGGCTTTTGAGATGTTGACTTTGTGGACTTGTCTACTGACAGGTGGTGACCTTCACTGGGTTAAATGCAGAGACCTATGGCGTTGGGTTTGACTCCTTCCAGTGTTCAGGCAGAAATGACGTTCAGCTCCTTCCCATACCTATTTAATGGCCACTTGGTCTTCCCTGCCATTTGGTGGCATCCATTCCCCTCCCTCTCCCCACCTGCCCCAGATTACTCCCTCCCCTCTGTCAGTTCTTCTTGCCCAATCTGGCTCCATCCTCTATGTGCCCATTGGATGAAAGCTCAGCATGAAGCAGGGTCAACTTACATTTCTAAGGGCCAAGACAAAACACCCAGTAGTTAAACCTTTACTGGGTTGTAGGACTTGTCACCCTACTTATTAGATGATCATAATTCAAGATGATCAAGAAATTCAGAATCCTGTGTAAAGCCCAGCTCTGGGCTCCCTGTCTGCTGTTTTGTCATTGGTGGCTGTGAAACCATGTGGAAATCACAAAGGAAATCTTGGCCCCTTTTTCTGCTTGCAGTTTAAATGGAAAAAAGATTCTACTGGGTGTGATGCTGACTACACATTGATGTATTTTACTTCTTAATGGGGGCAATTTTGCTTTTGTAGAAAGGTCTTTGAAAAGCCTCTTGGTAATAGCGTTTTTATGTCTATAAATCAAATTGGCTCAGTCTTAACAATTTTTACATTTAAGGTACAGCATAGGAGGGGGTTTCAAATATCTCTTGATTATTCTCTTACATTATTTGGGCATATGTTTTTAATTAGCAAAAAATTAACCAGACTTCAGAAACTGGTTGTTTTTATTCCATCAAGTTAATGGTGAGTGGCTCATTTAATAAAACATGCCTGTAATTTAACACAAATAGTAGGTACAGCTGTTCATTTGTCAATCTTTTTCCCTGTATGAATCGTCTTGCACTGTTTTCCTAAAGGATAGGGTCACGTAGAGGGGAAATCCGTCATTTAAAATCATTATATTCTAAGCCACTCAATATCACCATACATAAGGTAAGGGGGTAACGCAACAAACCCCCGGCAACGGTGGAACAAGGAAAGGGGAAAAAACCGAAAAGAACCGAAACCGCCGTTTTGTGGGGGGGGGGTTTTTTTTCCTGCGCCAAAAATGACCCAAAGAGAAGATTCGCTTCATCCCTACAGGGAAATGATTCTCCGAAAAGCACATAGCGAGCTGGTAATGGGAATCGCTCGCATTGGGTTTCTGGTCCGGCGCTCAGAGCTCTAGCCACTACCTCCTGTCTTCACCCACGTGTGCACCCGGGAGTTGTAAAGTGAATTTTGAGAA